TTTTGACCAAAAGAGCCATTTTGCTCCTTTTTCCCCAAAATGTTTTTGTCTGGAGCCGCAAAGCATATTTCATAGCTTGATAGCTAAGTTGTATTTATTGTTATATCAGACAAAAACTACAGTTTTTTTGCATTTATTAGGCTATNTTATCGTGTGTCCATCTGGTTGTTTTATTGCACAACAAAATCATGTAAACATATTATGTAAATAACCCAATTTGTGTTCTGTGAAACTAAAAAGGATATAATATATTATTTTGAAGGCGAGGAAGTTGTTGTTGCTATGGAAACAACATGACGGAGAAAACTTAATATCTTCTACATATAAAGACGGAGAAAATAAAGAACAAAGTTGGAAAATATCAGTAAAGTATCATAGTACTTTAACATAATTGTTTTTGTTACTTTCGTTGCAGTTGTATGTCTTAAATGTAATGTAAATGTTACCTTTGTGTATGGTTCGGGGCCATCTTCGTGCGAAATTCACAATTCCATATTTGTGTGTCCATCGGGTGTCAATTTCGGGACAGTGTGACAGGGGCTTTAATCTGAGGGGTCAAAGATGGGAATTACTTAGATTTAAAAGATTTAAAGGGGCCTTATTATTCTTTTGGAGATTGTCCTTTTCGTGTAAGGTGTTAAATATGTTTTGGTGCATGTAAATGGTCTGCAAAAGTTAAAATCCCAAGTCCAAAAGTGAACATTATCACAATAGGCCCCTTTTTTAAGATACAAGCATTGCATTTCTTTTTTCATCAAATGTTTCTCTCATTTACTGATTTTTGCTTTATCTTCATTCTTTGTTCACAAGCTGGAAAGATAAGTATTCACCAATTTTAAAGCACTTATTTTGAGGCGTAACAGTGAATAAATGCACCCAAATATCTTTTCAATCACCCGTTGCTTTGAGAGAATTGAGCACACACATGTACGTTATAAATGTGTATTGTTGATCACCGTGTTGCCATGCTGAACTTACATGCAGCCATTCGTCCGTACATCCTGTCCTCAATAACCCCCACGTCCAATTCCTTAACAAAGCACTGCATTTAATGGATTGACATAAATAACAAACTCACACTGGTTTAGAAAAGTTCTACTCTAAGCCGTTTTCAACAAAGACGTAGGATCTGAAAAATGTACAACAGGAGTTGCAGCAGAGGAGATGAGACATTATGGGTCAGGGAGTTCTGTGGGTCTGGATAAAAAGACGAGTCGAGCAAGAAAAACTGGATTAGATGAAAGAAGAAATTAAAGGATGGGTGAAAAGATAAATACTGGCATAGATGGTGAGATGGTCTCCTTCAGGCTCACTGGATTTTCTTTCTTTTTCTGCCTATTAGTCTCTATGGTAACTCTCTCAACCTGGACCTGATCTGAACATCAAACAGCATCGCAGACAGCGTCAGACATCTCCAACCAAGGTATTTCTGAAAAGAAACATTTAGGAAAACAACTCGGAGTATCTGAATTGCAGAATGGTACTATTATGGCATATTGCCGTCCAAATATAAACATACCAAATATAAAAGTGGTTACACTACAAACATTCAAAAACATAATTAAAACAACAATACGTGAAAACACTGCTAAATAAAAAATATATATAAAAAGACATGGATGCACTTAATACAAATATATACAAGTAATGGATAAGATAATAAAAACAATTATCAAAAATAAATACATATAATGAATAAAGAAATGTATATATGTTAATAACACAAATAAAAACGACATACCTTTACTCTCTGTTCAGTGCTTCAGACATATCAATATTTTCTTCCAAAAATAAGGCTTTTATTATTTCCAGAATGAAAGACCTCTCACTTTTTCCTGTTTTTATGTTTCTGTTTTTTCAACAGGACCCAGCAGCACTGCAAAGTTTAGTAAATTATGGCAAATGCCACTAAATACTTTTTCAGAAATGTGGTACATTTTATTTTTTCCAGCAGAAAATGAAATGGCCATGAAAGCATCTTGGGGGGGGGGAGGACAATAGCTTTTCTGACAGTCTTTGATGCTTCAGCACTGCAGAGCTCCTCTGAGGAACCAATCAGAGCAAGAATGTACTCGCCAAGTTAGTTAGTTAGTTATAGGAGATCAGAACACAACACACAGTGAGCCATTGCTCTCATGTTGAGGCACCACGCTGATCATAGGGGATCATAAACACCGAAGGGGTATGATCCAATAGGTGTTGTCATTTTGTAAAACTTGAGTTTATTTTGTGATGCCTGGAGGGGCAGAGATGTGAATAATCAAATAACATATTTGCTTAGACTGTTCTCTGTGTTTAAAAGCATTTCAGGATGTTTAAGCGTTAGGGATGACAAAACATTCTACTCAAAAAAGACTGAGTGAAAACAGACTTTTTAACTTTGTATTAAACAACCAATTTGGTGTTATACAAATATATGTATTTTTAAGATTGGATGTTCTTTCATGGCATGGCATGTCATGGCACCTGGTATTTTGATAGTGTACTGCCTCAAGAAACAATAAGCGGCAAACTGCGGTGTATATATTGATATTAATGCTGTGTTGCATGCTGTGTTTTGAATACCTGTTGACACCCTATTAGTAAATGTGTTTCTGGATGGATGAACATCTGGTATTGTATTATATGGAAAACCAAGCATGATTAAATAAACAGCTTGTATAATTACAAAAAGAAAATAAAAAAACGGTGAACTTGTGTCCCTGAAATATGCGTTGGTCCAGTAAATTGTTTTATCGCCCACTTGACAAATAGTATTTTTAAATGTGCGCGACCCAAACTGAAGTGGCTGACTCCTCCTGATAACGGAGATTGTTCTTGTACTAAGAAAGTGAATATATTGTGTTCATTATTGGTTCAAATCCAATCTGCTGGCTTTTGAGGAATGGTTATGAATTGAATAAAAAGATAAATCTGTACCACTTAAAATAAGACTACCCTTATAAAGGATTCATAAAGGGTTTATAATTAGGTTATAAACATTTTAATAATAATTAAGAACCATTTATAAACCAGTTATTCTAACATAGTTTTCATACATCAACACTCACTATTTGGCAAGATGACTAAGCCTTATATTGGCTAGCTTACTTCTTCATCAGCCAACATCTTGGTATCTGTTGCTCACTGAGTTGATTCTCCCCCCATCCATCTTGATGTTTCTTGGCAACTCTTTATGACCATTTATTTACGAGTTACTAACATTTATAACTGCCAAAAGGAAGCCTTTTAAAGTGTAAAACACATTCCCATTTATTCATGAGTTACAACCATTTATAATTGGTAAAAGGGAGCCTTGTAAAGTGTAAAACAAATCACCATTTATTAATGAGTTACTACCATTTATAATTTGTCTAAGTTATCCTGTTAAGCCCGAGAGACCCCGCTACCGCAACATCTTGCAGGAAACAGTGTCTGAGGGCATGTTCATTTAATAAACTATGAATGTCTTATATCCATGTAATGGGAAGAAACTCATCTAACTGATCATTTTAATTGAAAAAAAACAAAAAAAACACACACAATGCTAACGCTGAGCCTCTGAAATAGCAACGAGCGAAAAATGCTAACAGATGACTGCACCGAAATTCACTCACAAAACCTTATTATTTATCTTTAGTGCACATCCAACCCATCGTTTCATATTGTGAGGTGAAACAGAATCGAAGGGTACCCTCATTATCACTCAATTATACGAACTCGCGGAGATAGTAACAAGAACAGACATCAAAACATATGGCACTAGGTAGCTAAAAACGCTAACATGCTCACCTGTGTCATAGTCTGGTCAAAAGTGGTCTTCGATGGCGTTAAAACGATAAAAACGCTGCTGAAGTTAATCCATAGGTTAATCCAATGTGTCTGTATCCCTTTGAAATTATTAACTTCAGCAGCGTTTTTATCGTTTTAACGCCATCGAAGACCACTTTTGACCAGANATATTTAAATGAGCTCTGAACTCTTCAGCCAATATAAGGAAGTAACAAATAAAAAAAAAAGAGATATGCTCTTTCCTGCTAAAGGAAGTTAAAACCAAGCTAAATAAATCTAACTTAGAACAATGAGTAACTCAGAATGATCTTAAAGTCTTCCTGATGTGAAACATGATGATGGATGTAGACGTTGTTGATCAGTGGAGTCTGATGGAGGCAGAAGTGTTGCTCAAACTCCATCAGGAGGTCTGATGTGTTCTCAGTTCACTGTACCATCATCTACATCATAACGCACCTGAGTAAAACAACAACAACAACAAAAACAACTGAGTTGGTTTCAGATCCAAACATTACATTTGGAAAATCCTGTAGGATGTAATTTAGGTAAACCAGCCTTTGCTTGTTTCTCTCTCTTCGGTCTATATACAGATTATAATGTAGAGTCTAAAGAAACAACTGTAAAAACAGTATTTTGTTGTAAAAACTCACACTGATTTCCTCCATCTGTGTTTTCTCCTCTGAAAAGTAAAGAGAAAGTCGACTTGAGATTCCACATTCAAAAATATGAAATATATTTACGTTTCATCTGTGAATGTTCTCACCTTTAAATCTTGTCCATATGTTGACCGCCACAACGATCATAATGAGTGTTGCTAAACCCACAGACACCACGATGAGCCTCAAGAGACCTGGAGAGAGAATACACACATGGAAGATATTCATGTAGGTTTTGGAGTTCTAATATAGGACAAAGAGAGATGTATCAGGGATTGAAATGAACTTGATCTAAATGGAGTAACTTTATCTGGAACTAAATGAGTTCATAAAATACAAATATTGTTTGTAATGAATGGGTTTGATTTGAAACATCTCAACATGTGTTCTCACCTGAGGACGGAGTGCTGAAGGGAAACAGAAGTACTTCTCCCTTGTACTCAGTTACTTCACATGTGAATAAACGAAACCCTGATCTGTAGTCAACACGAGAAGTCAGAAATGTGACCGAGGCCTCGTAGTGAGACTTTGATGTCTTCATATCTTCTTGATATTCATCCACGTCCCGACTTCCAAACAGCCACTTCACTGTGTGTCTGCACCGCACAGACGCCTTCACAGAGCAGCGTAACGTCACCTCATCGTTGTTCTGATGTTCAGTCACTGGTGATATCGTGAGAGAAAGAAAATAGGAGTCAAATGAACGTCATCAGGGTAATCATAATTATTGTAATGTTTCAGTTTATTGTTCTATAAAGACAGTTTAAAACACTATGATGTAAATATACTCACTGGTGACAACAGACAGATGAACCAGAGCGCCTTCATCTCGTCCTGATCTGAACTGTCTCCAGAAGTAACGACCAACATCCTCCTCTGTGACATTCTTTATAACCAGAGAACAGTTCTCTGTAACTCTCAGTCTGTCTGATTCAGCTCTAGCTTCTTCAACAATCTCTCCAAGAGCAACCAGCTCTACTGTTGTGCATCCTGAATTAGTGACGAGCCAGCCAGTACGGTTACATCCGCCCTGATCATCTCTCACACCGCTACAAGGCAAAGTGACTTCCTCTCCAACTCTGACAGTGAGGAAGTCTTCCTGACCAGTTACTGCTGCTGATAAGAGAGACGTATAAAGAATATGCAGGAAAACAAGTGTTACTAATAATATCAGTGATAATATTATTTTAGAGCACAAAGTTTCTATATGTGCCTCATCAGTGGTTTCCAAGAGCTAAACTCACTATTCACCTTGCTGAAAAATGAAAAAGCTACTTGACTGTCGTGTTTAAATGAAGGTTAGCTCATACATTTCCATTTACGACATTAATAAATACGCTTTTTAAATGTTCCTATACATATACACATCATCTCTACTCTTACCTGTAGACTGAAGCAGCAGAACGAGAAATAAAGACATTTTAATCCGTTTGAACTCATCCATCTTGATTCTCCGTCTCTCTGCTCCCTCTATCTCTTGTTCTGATGAGATGTGTCTGAGAAAGTGGGTTTTATCTGAGAGATGCTGCACCCACTTCCTGTGATAAGTAGGACTCCACCTTCTAGAAGGGACTTTACATTTTTGTATATCTGAATGTGTCGTAGACGTCAAAACATTTTGAGAAGTGTTTTTCTAAAGTTGAACTGTCCTGCATGCATTGATCCAATCTAATGCAACAAACATGAAACTTGAAACTCGGTCACGGTCGGTTGTTTCCGTGAACGACCGAATGTTCAGTCACGGTTGCATCCGCAAGGTATTGTGGGACAGAATGTTCTCCTTTCCTTTCCTAAAGGATGGTCCAGTGTTCCCTAAGCTAAAGGAGATTCTAAAGGAAGTGTCAAAGCTCCTTTCCTATCATCCGTTAGGAACCTTCCTAAGCAGAACTGACAAGTCTAACAGTACTGCATGTTGTCGGACACACGTTCAGTGTGAAAGTGCTGTTATTTAAATGTGATAATCATTTAACAAACTGCTTCGTCCATTACAGGAGGACGCATATACTGTATCATCACAATAACAGCAAAACAAGTCAATAAAAAGCCTATCTTAAATGTTAGATTTGACATGCAAGCTGGTCTCCAAGAAGAAGNGAGTTCAGAGCTCATTTAAATATGTACTGATTGTTTTTGAAGATACAGCAGCTTGAGGTCAGTTTATTATCTCTGTGTGCAGAAGAGTCATTTGACCCTCCTTTCATTTAGCTGTGCTGTGCTGGGATGTGTTTGAGGGGTTTTCCCCCTTGATGAAGTCAGTAACAGTCCTCTCTTTCTAACATGTGATGACCTTATAATCTGCAAATAAATAACTGTGTATCTTAGTCTTACCCTGTGTTCTGTGACTCCTCCGTGTATTTCCAGTGTTTTAGTGGGGAGTGTTTATGTACTCTGAATGTCCTTCAAATCACATTTCATTCAGACAATACAATAAGTGCAAACAACTTCCATGACGAGCAAGCATCCTGCATTAGCTTTGAATCAGACCAACCATCTTTCTTTTTACATTAAAGCAAGTAAAATGTAAATGGAGGTTTCATCAAAAACAGAGACCCTTCAGCTCTCATAAATAAGATGCGAGAATCTGCAATGTCAACTTAACTGTTAGTATCGTTCGCTGCCTTATCGCTCCAGAAAGCCAACACCCGCCTTACTGGATATCCGTTATTGATCTCTGCAGCTGATCTAATACATTTGAAAATCACTAGCTTCACACCGGACTTCAGTTAAAAGATTGAACTCACATTAACCTAAACCTAAAGTGTTTTGTTTGAGGGTAATTCCAGAATTGGAAGACATTTTCTGTAGCACCTGAAATTTCATATAATCGATGCCCTAGTTGTGTTAAATATGCTACACTGCTTAGTTGAATACTATATACTGATTGGTCAATTTGGACATGTCAGAGGTTATTTAGTTAGATGATGTAATAACTCTTCAGGCTGATCAATTAAATACTCTAAATATGTTTAACTGAATATCTTGATGGATCACAGCTCGTGTACTTATTATCAGTGTTTGATCAAATCAAAAAGATATTAATCCAACATATTTTGAGTATTAATATGAAATAAAAATAGGTTGTGTCCTATGCAACCAGTGTAGTCATTTGACCCAGCACTGATTTTGAGTCTCTGGTTCACATGACCTGTAAGCTATTGAAGAAATATTCTTATTTTTCCATTAAAAAATATTAATTTATAATACTCAAGAGTTTTCAACTGCAACAAAAGGTGTCTCCTATGCACTGCAGCCAGTGTAATAGTTTGATCCAGCACTGATATTGAGTGATTAGGTCACATCACCTGGAAAAGATTGAAGAAATATGCAAATATTTCCATCAAAATATAATATTATTACAAGTATTACAATCCAGTTAAAAAAGGTGTGTGAGGAGTGGATTTTGTTCAAGTTCACATGACTGGGAAGGTGTCAATTTATTGAAAATGAACATTGTTCTTGTGTCATTGAAAGAGTAATTAGTTGATGGTCCCCAAGTGAAAGCCTTGCTACCTATCTCGACTCCCACTGACACTGACTTTTTATCCACCCCACAAACATTATGCATTACATTAATGCACATCTGTGAAAAACATCTTGTTCCTTTTTCTCCTTCTTAATACTGTGAGACATGTTCATGCTCAAGTCTGACTGTTTTTTTTGCACACGTCAGCACAGCCCTCCACTTTAAAATATAATTCACTGTAGTTTGCCATTTACGGACTAGGTGTTTTTTTTAGCTTTTACGGTTCTTCTTTACATATTTAAATTTGGTGTGAACATTTGTCTTTAGTGTTCTTTTTTTAAAGCTAAATTGTTTCTTGAAAATGCTTATTTTGTATGATCCTTATATATTTATTTTTGACATACCATTGCAAATTATTTTCTTAGATGGTTTAGGTTCGCACAACCAGATACCAGGGCAAATACCCTTTATGTGTTAACGTATCTGACAATAAACTTGATTCTGATTTTGACACTTCTTGTATGGCGGAGGAGAGCTCACCATCGAAATACAGCCAGGATAAACTGACGCTGAATATCCAACCTAAAACCTAGCTTCACCAAATATCCAACCTAAAACTAACTTCACCGCGGTACAGAATCTCAAACTACAGACATAGCTAACGGACAGTTCAGTAAACATTAGCGTCACACAGAGAAAGGGCTGGGCCCGGGGGTGTGTATTTCACTCACCCTTATTTGTAGAGGAAGGCCATTATCCTTTCTTACATACAGTAGAAGTGAAGTGGTCAATAACCGTTGAATTCCCGCCAGCCTTTAGGTCCTCCACAACATTAGAGTCAACTGATATTTAGCTAGCTAACTAGCTGCTGAAGTTTTGCGCTAAGCTAGCCACTTTGCCCGGACATCATTTTCGTTATTAAAAGTCAGAATTCCTAATTGTTCCTCTCCGTACGAAGCTATGGTAGTCCGGGAGTTGTCCTGCCATACCATTTAATTTAGAGTTGATGGTTAATTTAGTAAAACAAAAGGTCGTTTTCCTCAAACTTCAATCTCCGTAACTGCACTTGCGAATGTGGTTGCCTGGTAACGTCATTGATGTGATGTGATTGGTCGGGAGCCAGAGGCCGGTTGGCTTCCCTTGACCCTGACCTATCACAGAATGGCAGGGCCCGACGAAGACCTCTTCTGATTGGTCAATTCCTCAACACAAAAAAAGTCCCTTTAAAGAACATAGAACATATATTTTCCATACAAAAAATCAGGCGAAGGGATGTAAAATACAAAATGACAAAGAAAAGCAGTGTTACTATATTGCTTTAATTATTGGTAAAGATGTAGAAAATTAGTTTTGGAGGCAGCCCATCTCTTTTTATGAATTTCCCCTAGAAATAAAAAAAAATCTGCATCCATACTACTTATGCCATAGGTATATCGTTTGTCCTGTTTTTCATCATTCCAAAACATTCTACTACACATACATTCATTGTACTTCTCTTTATTTGTTGTCAACTTTTCACACACACGAAATGTAACCTCTTCATTTAACCCATCCTAGGAGCAGTGG